AGTAGAAGTAGTAGTAGCAGTAGTTGTAGTAGTAGTCGTAGTAGCAGTAGCAGTAGCAGTAGCAGCAGCAGCAGCAGCAGTAGCAGCAGCAGTAGCAGTAGTAGTCGTCGTCGTCGTCGTCGTCGTCGCAGTCGCAGTCGCAGTGGCAGTCGCCGTCGCCGTCCCCGTCCCCGTCGCCGTCGCAGTCGCAGTAGCAGTAGCAGCAGCAGCAGCAGTAGTAGTAGTAGTAGTAGTAGTAGTCGTAGTTAAACAGCAGCTGCAGCAGCATCAGTAGCAGTAGTATTACGTCGAAGGAGCAGGAGCAGGAGCAGGAACAGTACCTTCTTACACTACTTATCGCCGTTGCGCTCGCCCTTGCGCGGTGCTGGTTTTGGAGCGGGCCCCAAACCTGCATCAAGTGCGCTGTAAGGCTACGCAACAGGCGGGGGTTTAGAACAGCTCTCATTTCAGGGTTTCGGGCTTAAGCTGCCCGGGTAACACTCGCCAGAAAATTCAACCAGCAGCACTGCTTGCATAAGGAGAGACCTGTTGATGATGATGATGATGGAGATGCTGTGAAGAAAGAAATATGCTTATCCTTTCTGTCTTAGCTCTCACCCTCACCCCCCCCCCCCGGCACACACAGACACACACAACGCACCCACCCGCATTCGCCCAAGATAGCAACGTGCACTGACCAAACACAGCTGGGGCACACAAGACTTGCATCCGCAAGCATCCCGACGACATCCACATCGAGGCAAACTCCATGCAGGTGGGTGCTGGGTGACGTGTCATTAGAATAGCTATGGCAGTCCTAGTCCTATAGTGGTCGTCGTCGGAGTCTCATGGCGATTGTGGCGGTGACAGCAGGAGCAGCAGCAGTTGTAATGAGAATGGTACTTTGTACTCGTCGCCGTCGTCGTTGTCGTGGTAGTGGTACTGGTAGTGGTGAGAGTTTGAATCGAAGTGGGCATCGGAAGCTCACTCGCGCACGCCCTCTCAATTTACTGACAAGCTCACAGTCGCAGGGTCGCTAAGTCCCTCTATCCTCTCTTCTCCCTCTCACTCAATCATTTGCTTTCTCATGCTACTCTCTCAGTCAGTCTACGTGTCACTCATTGGTTTCATTCAGCCATTCGTTCATTCGCTTATCATGTTTCCGCCCACATCAGCCCTGACAGTTGCAAGCGTACTGATCTGCTGCAGTCGCTGAGTCTCCTTTGGTCCCCCAGTGCCTCTGCTTTCAGCTCCTACGCAATTCAATGATATGCTGCTAGTGAATAGAGGAAGTCGGGTCTAGTTAGGCTAGCTGGCTTGTTAGCTGAGCAAGCTACCTATCGTTGCATCTTGGGTTTATGAAAATGGCTTTGAGTGCCAGGACCAAACCGAAAAGGTTGCGCCTGCGTTGAGCAAGGATTCTCAGGCTTGTCTGCGGCAGTAAAAATTCCACAGCTGTCCCAAAGTGTCGGTAGCACGAGCGAGCACCTCCGCATTTTGAAGAAGCAAGGCGCCCTGGGCTATGCTGAGCTCAGCCGAGTTGCCGGACCCAAAACATGCGAATCTTCAAGGTCCTTGTCCGCTTTGTTGCTGGCAGCTGCGCCGTGAGGCGATATCCAGGGATAGCCGCGAAGAGAAGAAGAGGTACTAGGATTCTCGGATGCATCAGCTTCATCAGCGAGAAGCCCATGGAATGTTCAAGCGCGAGGCTTGAAAGAAGGATTTGGAGCTTGCATTTTGGATGTTGTGCTGTGGCTGCCTTGCTTCGGGTTTTCGGCTTGTGGTTTTCGGCGTCAGCTCAGTTGAAGCGAAAGATGCACAACGTTGCAAACGACGTCAGTCTTAAGCCACGCATAAGCATGCCGCATGTGAGCACAATATGAGAATACGTAGGGAAAAGTCGCCGAAACATAGTGTCAACAACTTTGCAGGGCGAGGCCTCGATGTAGCTGAAACAAACTACCCAGTTGACAATGCGTCTAGTTGTGGTACCCCATTCGAATCCATCCGAACTGTCGAAGCAAGAACAGCACGGCCCTTTGTTCAGAAATGCGCGTCTGCTGGAATGTGCGAATCTGGTCCTGTTGAAACATGCTGAAACCAAACTCTGTGCTTCCAGGACATCTGTTGCCAGGAACCAAAATTGGCCAAGCTCCACCTCATTGGGCGGCCTGGCGATGTAGCCATTCGAACGCGAGCTCAGTGTCCACCAGCATTGAGACCGCTGCAGGCCTTCATCTTGTGCCGGCAACTGGACTTCACGCAGTGCGTGCACGCAGGCGCCTTGTCGTTGGTGATGCCTGCATGGGCCGTAGCTTGAGAAGCAACATGACACTCCGGGAGTGCTTGAGCGCTCTGGGAAGAAAATGACAAATGTTTCTGCCGATCCTGAAGACCAAGGCACATTGGTTCATGCAATGGTCCCTCGAGCAGCCCACCAACTGGGCCATGCATGAAGCACAGCCGGCCGAGTAGCCCTTCTTCTGCATGCAGTCCTTCCATGCCACGGCGCTACTCTGTCTTACCTGTACTACCTCATCTCCTGCAGCTGTGCTGAACACCCTAGACCTAGACCTAGCCTCGTCAGGCCCCTAGCGCCAGGACCGGGAACACGCACGCGCATGGCAAGCGGTCCTTGGTGCACGGAAAGCCGGCGGCACAGGAGCGGCCGCAGTGGTTGAGGGCAGCATCGAAGCTCCTCCTGCCTCCACCCTTCCAAACCCCCATGTCGTGACCATTGGTGCAGCCGCCACCCTCGAGTTCAGCTTCCTCCTCCACCTGCACGGACTCCTCCTCGTCATCCTCCAAGGCGTCCAGGTAGTGGACCTTGATGCCACGCAGCTGGTTGAGCTCCAAGCTGCAGTCGCCACCAGCAGCGCAGGTGTCGTCCGCGGCCATCGCAGCTTCGATGTCATCGCTGTGCACGGCCACAAACGCGAGAAGGGTCACGAGGATGCGCAGTGCCATGGCTTGCGGATATGGGCACCAAATGCAAATCACTGTGGACCGGTAGGGCAGCTCTGAATGCTCGAGCCCAATTTCGACATTTGGCTGACAAATGGCGATGCTTCTGAACCGATCGTCCAAACGAGCCCAAGCCTGCACCTCGATCAACCATAGTGCGATTAGAACACCGCCGGCCTGCACATGCCCGAACTCCACAAAGCCCCAAACCCAACAGTAGACCATTCCCATGTAAACCTGCTACTTCCTCCTCCGAGCCTGCCTGGTTGCACTCAGCCGGGGCAACTTCCTGAGCAAGTGCGAGTTTGTGGAAGTTGTTATTGGGGTTGAAGGTTTGGGTGTTGAGGGTTCAGGGTAGAGAGTTCAGAGTCGGGACAGACGGCTCAAAGTTGGCGGTCCGACATGAACAAGGGGGGGTATGTTGAGCAGCAAGCCATCGCACTGGTAGCGATTCCCGCCCGTATCAAGTAGAGGTGGGCATTGTAGTCGATCAGCTCATGTGCCGACTTAATCGAAGAGCCGAAGCCGAAAACAGTCAGTAAATAAAGCATTGCTCAGGTGACTCAGAGGTGGACTCTCGGGACGACCACAGTGACTTTAGGACGGTCGCAAGCGAAGGCTGCAGTGCGAACCTGTGAGACTTGCAAGTCTGGGCAACAATACATTACTACTCCTTGTGTCCGGACAAGTCCCGGACAAAGAATGACGGAACACATGGCTGCAGCTCAGTCCAAACCCATGGGAACTCTTTGCAGGATGGCGGCTAACTTGCCAGCCGTCCGTCGCAGGGCGCCGCCTTTCGGGCAAACATGTTGTCCGCGGTACGGTGGAACTAAACAGGGTTGGAGAAGTAATGGCATGTTGGCTGAGCATTCCATACTGAATCCCAAAGCCCCTCGTTCCCAAGCAGCTGGACGCTCGCCTTCTCTTCGTGCGATTGTGTCCACCCGGACCTGTCAGTGCCGAGCCCATGAACCATGACACCAAATCCCTCCACCACAATCGACTTAGCAATGTTGGACTCCCGGTCGGTAGAAGTTATGGATTGGGGATCTGTAAGACTCTTGGGTTTCCTTCTCTTCACCTTCGCGACCCAATTTTAGCATCATGGCTTGGAGAGATGTCGAAGAGGGGTTCAAACTTCAAGCCTCAGAGGCCAGAACTTGCAGCCATGTTTTCCAGCTTTGGTGTCCGCAAGAAGCTTACAACAAGCATCGGACGTTCTCAGATTGTTTACTACAAGTACCAGATTTGCTCATGCTCTCCCCGCACATTGCTAAGGAACCCCAAGTAAGAATAAACCTTTCCTGTCAGACGCTCGCTCTTTCCTGGGCATCAGCCGTGCACGGGGCTCCGAGATTGAACACATGGTGCCCGAGTCCAGCGTCGAGCTAAAATCCCAACTCCGGGGCTTCAAGGCGCCCGGACCAACTTCCAACAAATTTAGTCATTCCCAATCTGAGGGCAACGCGCAAAGAACGCCAGGAGCAGGCATGTCATCCTCGCCATGCTAGAAGCCATTCATTCGCACGTGGAATGTAGATGTACATGTGCATACACCCAGCTTGTCGAACTGTCTACTTCTATTTATATGCAACTTGTCACAGCATACGAACAAGTATAGCCACACAGCTACGCACATACCCAATCACACACGCACATGCACGCATGTGCGTGTGCGCGCGGAGGTAATTTCCATGAGGGTACCGTACAGGCTCCAGTGCCACGCATGCATGAACTCATCCAACCATCCGTACATACATACCTGGATGTGCACAGGCTCACACATACATATTATATACTCGCAAAAATGCATAGGTACATACATACAGACGTACAGACGGACAAGCACACAGCCATCCGGGCAGGCACACAGCCATCCGGGCAGGCACACAGCCAGGCAAACGTACATTGACGTACCCTCACAGCAAACGAAAAAGCTAGCTGGCAACACACACACACACACACAAACGAACCAACGCAAACAATCAAACACGCGAGCAAGCAAACAAATCAACAAGCAAACAATTGCCCAAATACACATGCAAGCAAACAAGCGAGCGAGCGAGCAAGCAAGCAAGCAAAAACACATACAACAAGACAGATGGACAGACTAAGTCACAAACATACTGCCTTCCTACGTCCCTTCACAGACACATGCGTATATAGTTACATGTACATCCATCCATCCATCTATCCTTCCATCCATCCACCATTCCATGCCTCCGTGCTTCCGTCCGTCCGTGCATGCTTGCATGCATGCTTGCATGTATGTATGCATGCACTTATGCATAAATAAGTATGTATTTTTATATGTATATATACACACATATATATATATATATACGCATATATATATATATATGAGAGAGAGAGGCCCTTTAGGGTATAGTTGACGCCAGGTTTCGTTGCCATTAAATAAACAGAATCGAAATAATTGAAATAAATGAAATCGAAAAACGAAAAACACCGGATTTAACGAATTGAAATCGTTTCAAAAATTGTAATGCTTGGGGCCCCAAATGTTTGAAATACTTGAAGTGGCTCCCGATTTCTTCGCTAGATCCGACCAAGCGAAGAAAGGATTTCAATGACGTCAATTCTTGGGCCACCCTTTTCTTTAATATAACCACGAACAAGTAAATCGCAGCAAACTTTGCACCCAAGAATCGGTTGGCAAAATGTGCTGCGATTGGGCGTTACATATCACCACTAACAAATTAATCGCAGCAAACATTGTCCAAGAATCGGTTGGCAACATTTGCTGCGATTGGGTGTTTCATGATTTAAACATCACCAACAAGTCAATCGCAACACATTTTGTCCAAGAGTCGGTTTACCAATTTTGCTGCGATTGGGTGCTTCATGATTTATACATCACCACTGACAAGTCAATCGCAGCAAATTGTGTCCAAGAGCCGGTTGGCAGAATTTGTTGCAATTGGGTGTTTCCATGTTTTACATATCACCACTAACAACTCAATCGCAACAATTTCTGCGTAAGAACCGGTTGGCAAAATTTGCTGCGATTGGTTGTATCCGATATAACCACGAACAGCCAACCGCAGCACATTTTGCCCACAACAATCGGTTGGCAAAACTTGCTGCGACAAGTTGTTTCCGGATTTAAACATCACCACTAACAAGTCAATCGCATCCAACTTTGCCTAACAACTGGTTGGCAAAACTTGCTGTGATTGGCTGTTTCCTGGTTTGGCAATTATTGGAATTGTTTACAACGGTCCGATAACATAGGATTTTGTGAAGCAGTGGTTCGATAGCACCAAGCTGTCTGAAGGAACACTTCACAATATTGTGTGCTGTCGGGCCGCTGCGTCTTCAAAACCTGAACACAACGGTTCGAACACCAATCTGTTCGAAGCGCTTTCTCTCTCCCACCCATCCCTCCCCTCTTTGTTTTGGTCCGACATTAAGAATGCAAGATGTTGTGTAAACCATTGTCCTTCCAACTACAAAGATGCATAACTTTTTGTAAACCCGTATTGCCTTCTAACAACGAAAACGCAAAGTTTGTTGGTAAACTTTTCTTTTGCAACATGATAAATGATGAATGCATGCTTTTGAATAAACCCTTGCCCTCCGCCAACATTAAACACCCAAGCCGTTTTTTGTAAACCCATATTCTGCCTATCTGTGTTGTATGTGCTACGTTATGGACACCAAAAAAATATGATACGGTTTGCTATGATGTTGATGGCACATTTTGTTCATGACCGCCGTTGTTCATATTGCTTCCTTGCCTTTGATGTACTTATGAACTATTCCTAGTATGGATATGATCATCATTAGAAAGATCAATGATGCGAGGATATTGACTACTTACTGTTAATAGTATGGATTGCAGTCGTTGTTGTTGTTGTTGTCGTTGCTACTGTTGCGGCGAATGAAAGGCAACGTCCAATGAGGGGGACACTGCTTGGAGTTCACCACTCTATCTTCGTCGTCATCGTATCCCTCCCCCTTCATTCAGTCTTTATGTTCTACCTCCCCATCCCCCTCCCAAAAACAGCTAACCTCTCCACCTTTACGTTTCCCGTGTCATCTTCACCATCAACATCTTCACTGCCTCCGTCATATGGCTCATTGATTATTGTTGTTATTGTTATTGATGTTGGTGTTGATGTTGTTGAAAAGTAGAGCTTGACCCACATACACCATAGACTACAACAAACAGCTAAGGGGCACTGCTTCCGATTAATGGTTTCAAGAGCATGAACACCAAAAGAGAGGAAGGGAACATTTATTGCGACTGAGGAATTGAAAAGAATAATACTCGCCAGATGCTCCAATACTCAATTGGTCTCGGTTGTTGTTGTCATCGGCGTCAGTGTTGTTGCTGTTGATGCAGAAAGGCAAAATCCGACTGACACGAAACAATAAATAAAAAACAAAAAGATACTGCCTGCGACTGCGCATGCCCCATTCCCTTCCTTTGATCTTCATGCAGGGGCCACAGTCACGGCCGGATGTGGCATGTAGCTTCGAAGGGCAAGCTGTTGTCCCGTGTGTCATGAAAACAGCACATACTGTAAAGATTCGCTTCACTTTAATTTTAGGTTGAAGAGTCTTCGTCGACATAGGAAATTACGCGCTCTAGTAACGCACAAACATGCGTTTCTTCGACAAAAACCCTAAACCCACTACGACGGCCAGAGTCGGAAGCAGCAACAAACATGAGGCTGAGAATGCAAAGGGGCGTAGAAATGCCTTGGTAAAGCAACTAGAATACGGCTTTAAGGTTTAGGCTTTTGGGCTTGAGGGTTTAGGGCCTTAAGGCTTGAGGGTTTAGGGGCCCGAACCCCGGGGGTTTAGGGTTTAGGGCTTAGGGAGGAGCCGAACAAGAACCCCGAAGCCCAGACCAGAAGCAAAGCAAGAGCCCAAACACCAACCAAACCCAGACTCCAGCAAGAACCCAAGGCAAGGCCAGGGCCAGGAATACAGCTGGCACCCAAACGCACACGAACTTGACGCTGAAGGGGAGC